TAAACACTTTTCTCTCACTTCCGTGAGAGCCGTTCCGGGTGGATGACGTAGGACATAGGAGTCATGCATGCACCGGTGATTAGTGAAGAACATGGAAGTGTGGAGGAGAGACAGCAAAACAAAACGCCTGTCACGAATTAGAAGCACAAAATGAGGATTTGTAAAGAAAAATGTCGGAATTTAAGCCTTTAAGCCAAGAGGAGACTGCTTTTCCTTTGCTAAAGTAAGGAAACTTTGCTTCCTTTGCTCCTGTAAACGAGACTAGCACCAATTTGACGCCCTAAGCGAAATCCCTATTGCCCCCCCAAATTATATATATATATATAATTCTTTTCAGACACCAGTTGCTTGTCATATTCAAATTGGTTGTCATAGTAACGACACTAATTTGTGGAGATTCAGTGCATTGAGTTCCACAAATCTGAATGCATTATTTGTAAATTGACTGTTAAGATAAACATTTTGCACAATTTAGTATCTGTAATATCATTGTGTTGCCACTAGATGCCTGTATAGCCCTATCCCTAGTGGCTAAGACATTGCACATAATTTACACATAAATCACACATAAATTAATTTTATTACATTTTGATTTGGATACTATATACTATACTACTACATATTGTTTAGATATCAACAAACATATTGTTTGATCTGTTTTTTGTTCAATTTTGTTTTTGTTGTTGTTTCTTGAAACATTGATTTAAAGTGTCAGTTATTGCATTATTATTTCAGTCAAACCTTTAAAACCCCTTTGTTACCCCAAACTACATATAAAAGCTTTATCAGTGGCATAAAAGTAACCAATGCTGGTACTTAATCATTTGCTGCTCGTTAATGTGTTAACTTCCCCTTTAAATAACGTGACGCTCTTCCCTCTATGACACTGCTCCCATTAAACGCTGTTGGAAGTGAATGAATTGATTCAGCATTTCGACACCTCCGTAAGGATGCATGTTGGGGGATCCAGAGGGGGCGGCAGTCATATTTCAGGGTGACCGTGCTACTCTTTATCACAACCCTGCTAAAAGTGCCAGTACGTGTGCTCATTGGCGCCCCTTCAGCTGGTGGCGCCCTAGGCGACCGCCTAGCTCGCCAATGCCTAGAAACGTCCCTGCATATGATAGTCAGCGGAAGTGAGAAAAAAGTGTTTATAACACTTGAAGGCCCTTCATTGGTTGCCTGTTCAATTTAGGATACATTTTAAAATCTTATCATTTGTTTTTAAATCTCTGCACAATCAACCACCTGTTTATTTATCTGAATTGCTGCATCAGTATATCCCCTCGAGAAGCCTAAGATCTTGCGACCAGAACCTTCTTGTAATTCCGCATACCAGACTCAAGCGTAGAGGTGACCGTGCCTTCTCAGTAATTGGGCCTCGTCTTTGGAATGACTTGCCAGTGGAGATCAGAACGGCCCATAGCCTGTCTATTTTTAAGTCTCTTTTAAAAACCCATTTGTTTTCATTGGCCTATTAGGACTATATTCTTGCCAATTGTATTTCCTATTTGTGTCTTAATTTTCTGGTTGCAGTTTTTGTACTACTAAATTTTATGATGACGTTTCTTACTGTGAAGCACTTTGGTCAGTCTTGTGGCTGTTTTTAATGTGCTATATAAATAAAGTAAACTTGAAACTTGAAACTATAACGTTTTAAATATGGATATTTTTCTTACAAAAATGCATCAATTTGCTACAGGAGGCCATTTTTAACGCCCTGGAGCCGTGTGAGGCACGTTTTATGGATGGATGGATGCCCTTTATTTGACTACTTTTGGACTGTTGAAAATAAAAACACCTGCCTACTGCCATTAAACAGCTTGGAAGAGCCAGGACCATTTTATTTTTAATTTAACTCAGATTGGATTCGTCTGAAAGAAGAAAGTCATATACACCTAGGATACCTTGAGAAACATGGGCTAATTTAAATTTTTTGGGTGAACTAACCCTTTAGGCAAAGTTGCTAATGGCCAATATGCCAGCACTGCTATGAGCCTGAACATTTTCAGGATTCACAACAGCATTCAGCAAAATAATGAAAAATGGCGATGGACATAAACAGGGTTTCTGCTGGTTTTATGAAGATAAATTCAAGCCTTTATAAAGACCTTTTAAATACCAATTATAGAAAATTCAAGGAATAAACTGAAGGGAAAATAATACGTCAAATTATGTTCTCTAAATTTTGAAGTTGTTTTCCAATTCAAATATCAAAATTTTCTTAAAGGGTTCACCCAAAAAAGAAAAAAAAGAAAAGAAAACTGTCATTTACTAAACCTCAAGTTGTTCTAAACCTGAATGAGTTTCTTTCTGTGACAAGTCCCAGATAGTCTAACACAGTACACAACCCCACAATGTGTTACAACCCCAGATCACCAAGATTTCTTCTTCTATTACCTGGACCACATCACTGCAGATTGATGGTGCTCAGTTTAGTCACCCACAACTGTAATTCCAACAGTCATGCTCTTGATGAATTCCTGCTCCGAGCCTGTGTGCTTTAATAAAAACAAAGGGAAGCATTCAAATGTGCCTTACATTCATAAAGGTTACAGACTCCAATAAATGTGCATTTATAAAGTAAATAAATTTACTTACAACTTTGTCAAAGCTCTACAATGTGAATGTCATTTCCATTATGTCTGCATAGCATTTTGATGGATACAACTGCAAAAGGACTTGCTGCGGTCCATCCACAAGATTATTGAATTCTGCGCTGATCTTCAGTCATTCCAAAATATCATAAACATGAAAAATACAGAAACACGTTAAAACATTGTAAAATAATAAACATAAATATATAAATAAATCTTTACAGAGAAAGTCAAATGTATTAACAAGTTTTTTTTAATTACCAAAGCCCAACTTTACCATCCAGATGAGGCTTTTAAATTACACAACACAGAATTATAACAAAATAAAAGGAAATTTAACACATTTGTGTCTATCCTTATTGTATGGCTATTTATACATATATAGCTAAGCTATTATTGCTGTTATTCAAAAACCTATAGTTTTGTATGTATGCAATATACTTATGACTGTATAATCACGCAGCATTACAATGGGTTCTGGTGAGGCACTTGAATGACTACTTCAGAAAACTGAAAGAAGAGTTTGTAACGTTACCTTCAAAACTTCATCTGAACCAAGCTTATGTCAGCAATATCAAATGTAACGTCAAGTTGCGCTCGCCAAAAGGACTCTGAGGGACATGCTCATTCGTTTCCCTTATAACATGCAGAAAAGAGACAGTTCGAGTAGTAATCTTGTTTTTTCCCTAATATTTCATCTATGTATATTCTGACGGATGTCTTTACGGATTATAAGACGATGTCAGGTATGATGCGATTTAAATTTTTCCTTTCTCTTTGGAGTGTTACAAGCTCTTGGTGCATAAAGAAGATCTGTAAAGTTGCAAAGACTAGGGTCTCAAATCCAAAGAGATATTCTTTATAAAAGTTAAGAGTCAGCCACACCTACCTAAAACGGCTCGTTCTAACACGCCCCTACATATCTACGTCACGATGTGGGAAGATTTGCATAACGCCGCCCAAATGTTCATGCAAAGAAAGAAGGCGTAACTTTTATTCTCACTGTAGTATTGTTGCCGCCGCCGCCATGTCGTGAAGGCGCTGTGTGTTTCATTGTGAAAGCGAAACTACTTTGTTTGGCCTTCCAAAAGAGGAGGATATCCGCTTCGTCATGCCTAGAGCTGATCCGTGCTGGTCGCTGAGGAAATACTTTAACTTCGCGCTGTGGATCGGCTTTCTGTATTTTTGAACTATCTCTTTAACCACAAACTCATGTTCAGCATTCCTAACCTCCCCATTCCTAAATATCTTAAGGTCACATTCGTTTTTCAGCTGTTTGAAGTATGGCTGCTAAAGGACTTTGCTCAGGTCAAATCAGGGTAGGGCTTGACAAAGGATTTCATTGTACACCTTTACTATATAAACCTTTGCACCTGACAGTCAAATGCAAGTTTACATAAAAATGCCTAAGATCAATCGGCTTGGAATTTATTGAATAAATCAAGCCAAGATTAGTTTATATTATTTTAACTTAAATATATTGTTGCAACTACCTAAAACATGAAAGGATTAAAATAGGTACAATGTGTCCTAACTGGATATTGGATTGATAATATGTGGCAACTACAATGAGTGTGAAAAGTAAAATCTCTTTCATGTATCATGACATATATATATATATATA